AAGTCGCAAATAATTGCAGTAACAGTTCTATTTCCGATGGTCTGAAATCCGTTTTAGCTCTAGGGCTAAACTTTGCAGTCACACCTAAACATACCAGTTAATGATATCATTGCCCAAGTAGACGTGGCTCTCAAGGGCCTGGGTCACATCGCTGCAGACATGGCAAGATCTGAAATCGCTGCAACCCTCAAGCTAAGATGCCAGTAACCGCAGCAAAGATGAGCGTTTTGAATTATATAAATAAAAAATAGGGATTAAATTGTCATCCTCAGCCGACAAGGGCAATGTCACTGTCATCATGGATAAAATAGAATATAACAACAAAATTCAAGAATTACTCAACGATGGCAGCTATACAAAAATAAAAGAGATCCCACCAACAGCCTCGTCATACAAACCAACAAAATCATTTATGATTCAACCGCATTAATTGATCAAACCAAACAGTTCTCATATTCTTATGAGACTGCCACTCTGTGTTTAACCTTATGGAAGAGGTACGTGGATGACACTTTTGTCATCTGGTCACATGGCCGGCCTGCTCTAGACCAATTCCTCGACCACATCAATTCCACACACCCAGCCATCAGATTTACCATGGAAGTCGAAAAAGAGGGCAAGCTACCTTTTTTGTATGTCCTAATAAAAAAGAGACCTGATGGTTCAATGAGCCACTGTCTCCAGGAAAGCTACCCATACGGATGCTTACCTGAAACCGGATTCCCACCACCATCCATCCCAGATGAATTCCCTCATCAAGACTCTGTATCATAGAGCCCAATGCATATCCGACCAGGAACACAGCCAGTGAACTCAAGCACGTACACCAAGCTCTTAAGGCTAATGGTTACTCCGACTACACAATCTGCAAAACTATCACTCCAACCATGAGGAAGGACCCTCTTGAGGAGCCTTTCAAAACCATCACCTTACCCTACATTGCGGGGATCTCAAAAAAGATCTCCAAAATCTTGAATAAACACAAGATCCAGGTCCGATTCAACACATTACATAAAATCCGTGATCTGGTTTCGTCTGTAAAAGATGTGATTCCGGACATGCAGTACCCCTGGCGTCTACAAACTAAGTTACCTCTGTGGTAGTAGTTACCAAACGAGATGTCTCGGACCGCATTCGTGAACACAAAGGAGATCTAAAACACGGTAGGACCAACACCTCGGCCGTGGCAGATCACTGTTATAATTCAGTAGGCTCACATGACATTGACTTCTCCAAGACAGAGGAACTTTGCAAGCCATCTGGCTACCATGAGAGATTCGTTCATGAGGCTATCCACATATACGAACACAGACAATTTCAACCGAGAAGATAGATTCTGGTTTAGAAATCATTGGAAGGATTTGATAAACCATTTCGGGTCTTAATTGATTGTTCACGATTCCGGTGGCTTTCAGACCGCATCCATTATTTTCGTCTCCCCTCTCCTCTTTTCCGAAAATAGATGGACTCGTCCATCTGAATAACTGCCAAATCGCTCTCTGTGGTGCTAACGTAAAAAAAAAAACACAACATTTTTTAATTTTCTTGCTGTGGTTTTCACACCTGATGATGATTGCTTGTGTTGCAGTCGAAACGTCGTGGGAATTTTATTGTTTTATATTTTTATTATTTTGTTTCCCTTCTACGTGACTTTACCGAAAGAACCAATAATATAGAGACGGATTATTTGAGAGTGTTTAACCTATTGGTGCGTGTTAATAAATGGAGTGCCTCCAACTCTTAGCGTATCTGATTCAGTCACTACATGGATCCTCTTCAAAGTATTAAGACTTAGAGTAAGTCTTTGTCATTTAAAGACGTGATACAATTTTTATGTTCAGATGGGTATCACGCCTAACTCGGGTGTTCTTCGATGATTTCCACGTGAGATTGCATTCTCCCGTGGTTCCCGTAAACCAGGGGTCGGGAACCTATGGCTCGCGAGCCAGATGTGGCTCTTTTGATGATTGCATATGGCTCGCAGATAAAACAAAATATTCTCACTTGTTTTAATCCATCCATCGATTTTTCACTGCGCATGTCCTGTTCAGGGCTGCAGGAGCAATTGTCCATTATTTTAATTGGATGATACTGGCCTACGTTTGCCGTTGCTGGGTAAAACAGGTAAACGCCCCCTTTTGAATCAGTCTGAGACTGCGTCTGCTCGGTCATTAGCTCAAAGCTAACCCTTCGACGAAGAAGATGGCGAAAAGAAAAAAAGACGACGAGTATCGTACATTTCAGGACGAATGGACCGAAGAATTCGCCTTTGTGGAGAGAGCAGGTTCTGCGGTGTGTCTAATTTGCAATGACAAAATTACATCGTTGAAACGGTCGAATGTAAAGCGGCACTTCGACACGCGCCACGCTACCTTTGCATCAAAATACCCTGCGGGAGACAGCAGAAAGAAAGCGTGCCAAGAGCTTCTGAGCAGGGTGCAAGCTAGCCAGCAGCAACTCCGCGTATGGACCCGGCAAGGTGACTATAATTCGGCTAGCTTTGCTGGTTCTTTAGCAATAGTGAGGAACGGAAAACCATTCACAGATGGCGAGTATGCTAAAACGTTCATGCTGGATGTAGCCAATGAACTTTTTGATGATCTTCCGAACAAAGACAAGATAATCAAACGGATACAAGACATGCCTCTGTCGGCAAGAACTGTTCATGATCGTACCATCGTGATGGCAAACAAAGTGGAGGAAACGCAAGTGAAGGACATAAATGCAGCGCCGTTCTTTTCTCTGGCTTTGGATGAGTCAACAGACGTGAGCCATTTGTCGCAGTTCAGCGTGATTGCAAGATATGCTGTTGGTGACACACTGCGCGAAGAAAGTCTTGCTGTTCTGCCATTAAAAGGGTCCACAAGAGGTGAGGATTTATTCAAGTCTTTCATGGAGTTTGCTCAAGAAAAAAGTCTACCTATGGATAAACTTCTCTCAGTGTGTACTGATGGTGCTCCGTGTATGGTGGGGAAAAACAAAGGATTTGTGGCGCTTCTCCGTGAACATGAAAATAGACCCATCCTAAGTTTCCATTGCATTATACACCAGGAGGCACTTTGTGCTCAGATGTGTGACAGGCAGTTTGGCGAAGTGATGTCGCTGGTCATTCGTGTGATCAACTTTATTGTTGCCCGAGCCTTAAATGATCGCCAGTTTAAAACACTGCTGGATGAAGTTGTAAATAACTATCCTGGTCTGCTTTTGCACAGCAATGTGCGTTGGTTGTCAAGAGGGAAGGTGCTTAGCCGTTTTGCGGCTTGCCTGAACGAAATCCGGACTTTCCTTGAAATGAAAGGCGTCGGGCATCCTGAGCTAGCCGACACCGAGTGGCTCCTCAAGTTTTACTATCTCGTAGATCTGACTGAACATCTGAACCAGCTCAACGTGAAAATGCAAGGCATTGGAAATACAGTGTTATCCCTTCAACAAGCTGTATTTGCTTTTGAAAACAAGCTGGAGCTTTTCATCACGGATCTTGAAACAGGTCGTTTACTACATTTTGAAAAACTGAGCCAATTTAAAGATGCATGCACAGCAAGTGAGCCCATTCAAAACATTGATCTCCACCAGCTAGCTGGCTGCACATCCAGTCTCCTACAGTCCTTCAAAGCACGCTTTGGAGAATTTCGTGAGCACACTCGTCTTTTTAAGTTCATCACCCATCCAAACGAGTGTTCACTGAACACAGCCGACCTGAATTACATCCCTGGTGTCTCCGTCAGAGATTTTGAAGCAGAAGTGGCTGACCTGAAGGCCTCAGACATGTGGGTGAATAAGTTCAAGTCACTGAATGAAGATTTGGAAAGAATCACACGACAGAAAGCGGAGTTGGCGAGCAAGCACATGTGGACAGAAATGAAAAAACTCCAACCCGAAGACCAGCTGATTCTCAAAACTTGGAACGCGCTTCCTGTCACATACCACACACTGCAGCGTGTGAGTATTGCTGTATTGACCATGTTTGGATCTACGTATGCATGTGAGCAGTCATTCTCACATCTTAAAAACATCAAGTCCAACCTACGATCACGTTTAACGGATGAAAGCCTCAACGCTTGCATGAAGCTTAACCTCACCAAGTACCAACCCGACTACAAAGTACCAACCCGACTACAAAGACATCAGCAAATCCATGCAGCACCAGAAGTCGCATTAATGGTGAGTGTTATAACATTATTTAAAAGAATAAATTCAGAGGCTTATTATACTGACATTTAGTTGAATTCACTTTTAAAATATATTATATGGCTCTCACTGAAATAAATTTCCAAATTTTTTGCTTTCATGGCTCTCTTAGTCAAAAAGGTTCCCGACCCCTGCCGTAAACCGTGGCACCTGAAACAGCTTCATGGCGTGGTCGTGCAAGGATCGCAGGTGTTGGTTAGGCTGAGCCCCCCGCAGGTAATGTTAAAAAACGCATTTGATCTTGATTTGAAGCTTTCGTGACTGCAAAAATCCATACTCTTACCTACGTGACTTTACCGAAATAACCCAAGAGTATAAAAAACATTTGTTGTAAAATTGAGTGGGTTCAGCTGGGGCAACTGCCGGTCATCTCGGCCTGTCAACCCATGGCACCTGGGTCTGTCCCGTAACCTCGTCGGCGAGCCTTCGACACTTCACGTGGCCTCAAGAGTGCACCTGGCCTGGCACGGGCGCTCAGTGGGGACGTCGCCGTCACTTGGTGCAAAATGGCGGCTATTGTGATGTATTTAGTGTTGATTCAATTCGGAACCAACCCCACCATTTATTTAAATAACCCGTGCAAAAACTCCCCGTAGGCCTGGGGGGGTGGTGGTGGAAGAGAGAATCAACGGGGGGAGAGACGCAGTCCCTGCGGTGACCTTGCCTCGACCTCCGCGCCCGGCGCGACGCGTCCCGCAGAAATAAAAAAAGAGGAAACGGAGCAATTAGCGGCGCACGTGTGGACTGAGCATAATTTATAGCCACGACTCCCGTTGGTCGAGCAGCTTCGTTTTCGGAAGTTGCGCAGTCCTCGATGGCGGGGGGCGTTCCTCTATCCACCACCGCCACCAGCAGCAGCAGCAGCCCGTCTCCACCAATCCATCGCTTCCCTCGAACGTATTAGCGGTTCCTTTTTCCTGTTTCTCATTCTGTACGCGTCGCTCTTGCTGCTCGCTATTTCTCTTCTTTCTCTCTCCCGCTGGGTTAGCGCTTGTTGCTTTCGCACACGAAACGCCGCAGCCGCCGCCTCTCGCTTTTCCTCTCTCTCTCCGTCTTTCCGTGCCTTCATCTCTTCTTAGCCACCAGCGAGTGAAGGAGGAGGGCTCGTCGCAATGGCAAGCGCAACCGGGCTGACGAGCGACCCTGCGTGGAAGCGACTGGGCGAGTGGCACGCCAAGCATTCGGCCTCGCTCAAGATGAGACAGCTCTTCGACAAGGACGCCGAACGATTCGCCAAATTCAGGTGAGAAACAAAGGAACAAACGGATGCTCTTAACTCGCCCGCCGCTTGTTGGCAATGCTGCTTAGATGTCGGTGGTGCAAGGTGGCCGTGATCTCACCGATTTTGTTTCTTGAGTGAAAATCGCTCCGGATTAGTAGTGGGATAAGAAATTACAGCCGTGAGAGAGCGGGTGGCTGGAATTTTCGATTGCAAATTTTCCACACCCCCACCCACCCCACACGCTTCCACCGAGTGACTGAGCCTTAGGAATAGGTTTTGCCCTTTTAACTGGCACAAAAACTGACACCTTTATTCAAGGCATCCTGTTTGCAATAACCACAACACAAGCAGTCAAAATGCAAACAAAAAACAACTCTGATAATAATATGCACTGTCCTTGAATTTGATTGGTCCACATCCGGACAGTGCATATTATTATCAGAGTTGTTTTTTTATTTGCATTTTGACTGTGTTGTGGTTATTGCAAACATAATGCCTTGAATAAAGGTGTCAGTTTTTGTGCCAGTTAAAAGGGTAAAACCTATTCCTATATCTTGTTACTGGCAAAGGAGGTCTCATAATGACTGAGCCTTCTTCCATCGTTCGCTACGCGCGATGTTCCTTAGCAATACAAGAGAGAGAGGCGTGTATAAGTATGTTGTTGTCCTGGGTATCTACTCTGTAGAGTACATGCCATCGTTAATTACAACTGTGGGTCTTGTTGTACGCGTTGGGCGTACGTTGCTTCCAAAGAGAATGTTTAGCCCCCCCCCCCCCACCTGTTTAACTTGTTTGCAGGAAGTTCCATTCTGTCGCGTTACGCGGCGCGGGCTTTAACAATGCGAGGAGCGGTGGCGCGGTGGTTAGCGCGCTGCGCCACCGACCCGGCCCCCAACTGAGTTCAATTCCCCGCCCACGACCTCGACGAGCGACGGCAGTGAGCACGTTACAGCTGTCGGCTCGGCCTGAAAACGAGTTACCTGGCCGCGGTGTGCAATCGAATGTCGGCACCGGGGGAGTCGAAGGGCGGTCGGGCGTGGTGGCTGTTGGCCAACCAACCCACGCAGCCCCTCGAGGTCGTGTTCCGTTCGGGCCTTCTTAATAGGTGCTCGCAAACAGCGCCCTTGCCCCCGCCCCACCCCCCCAACAGCCTGCCTGCTTTAGAGGCTGACCCGGGAAGTTATCTTATTGCCTTGGCATTTCATCGTTTTATTATAAATCACCGGCGTGCAAAAGCAGTCGTTGTCGCATTGCAAAGTGCTGTTGAGTCGTGCTGGGCCCCCTCCCCCACCCGAGTTAGATGCCCGGCCACGGCCTCCCCTGGCCTCTGCCTCCCCTGCCCTCTGCCCTGCCATCGACCGCACGGATCGGAACGAAATCCCGGGGGGGGGGGGCACGCGCTTTGTTCGACTCAACCTGAAACGAGCACAGCGCGGCGTCCCGGGCGCGGTGTTGGGGGACATGGGCGTTCACTGGTGGTCCAGGGGACGAAGGGGGCGGTGGGTTGTGGCCTCATGGGAGGCGGTGTTGGGGGACATGGGCGTTCACTGGTGGTCCAGGGGACGAAGGGGGCGGTGGGTTGTGGCCTCATGGGAGGCGGTGTTGGGGGACATGGGCGTTCACTGGTGGTCCAGGGGACGAAGGGGGTGGTGGGTTGTGGCCTGATGGGAGGCGGTGTTGGGGACATGGGCGTTCAGTGGTGGTCCAGGGGACGAAGGGGGTGGTGGGTTGTGGCCTCATGGGAGGCGGTGTTGGGGGACATGGGCGTTCACTGGTGGTCCAGGGGACGAAGGGGGTGGTGGGTTGTGGCCTGATGGGAGGCGGTGTTGGGGACATGGGCGTTCAGTGGTGGTCCAGGGGACGAAGGGGGTGGTGGGTTGTGGCCTCATGGGGGTTCTGTGGCATGAGCATCGCTTGCGGGAGACGAAGGCGGCCTGGTGCGGTGTTATGAGCATCACTGGCAAAGAGACAGTGGGCCTGATGCGTTGCCATTAGGATCAATGAGAAAGACAAAGGCGGCCTGGTGCGGTATTATGAGCATCGATGAGAAAGACAAAGGCGGCCTGGTGCGGCGTCATCAGCATCACTGGCAAAGAGACAAAGGCGGCCGGGCGTGGGCTGGTGTCCGGGCCTCCACTGCAGTGGCTTTGTGGCCATGGCTGACGTGCCTGGGCGCACGGACTGCGCGCCCGTGTTCACCCTGAAGGAGGCGCCACCTCGAGGGGGCATTGGCGCGTCACACCACTGCGGCAGATGACTCACTCTCACCCCCACTCTCTCACCCCACACATTCACCCTAAAGGCCCATTCCAGCCGGCTCATTGTGGTTTTTTTTTGTTGCAGCATGTTTGATAAAGGAGCACGTGGAGTGTTGCGTACGCGATGAGAGAGATTTAGGATAGCAGCGTGCTCAATTCGATAAAGAAAATGCCTTGTGGATTTTAACCGTGTTGGCCGTTGAGGTCGAGCTGTCGCTGCATAGGAAATTTTTTTTCTCCATGACCTTGGCAGGGTACAGAGAGAGGGGCGTCTTTAGTTGGCTACGATGCCGTTCAATGGAAGCCGACGAAGCGACGACATGCGCCTTAACCGACGGATACATGGGCGAATTGTCTCGTAATTTCACCCTTGCGACAACAGCAGCAGCAACAAAAAACATTACACCTGGAATTCCTCACCCATCTCCCTGTGCAGGCTGTGGTCCTGGCTAGCTTGTGGTTTCCTCCACCGCCGATTCAGCACGGTTGGCCACGTGCAGTGCGAAAGAAGTTCAACATGCATACAACACACGGAGGGCCATCGAGCGTACGCAGGTGTTTTAGGCCTGCTGCGAGGTTGTTGTTGGCAGCAGAGGGCAGTGCATCGAAACTCATTGTTATACTGCACACCTATGGTGAAGTATGGTCAAATATAGTCGAATAACAGCCACGACCCGCACGGCGTGAGAAGGCCCTCGTCCAGCAGTGTATTGACAAATTGGCTGTACGTGTAAAACATCTGTCTAGCCGCTATTGGATAAAGGCTTCCCCATGACATATCGGTTTGCTGGGATTATTATTCATACTTCACATCGGTCAGTGCGGGTTTGTTGAAGGGGGTTGCTGAATTCCTGGGATATCACTTGCCACTGATGATAGCCGTGATTGGAATTCGAGCTCAGGCTTTTTCAGGTTCCGTGGCGCAGTGCCCGTTAGTTTCTGCGCCACCACGCCTCCCATACACATTGCCATCCTCGCCATCACCGTATTATATTCTATCCACATCGCCGTTAGCAACTGCCATATACCGTACATGTTTTTTTACGATCAGTGTTTTTCACGATTTATTATTGCTATCGTGCAATTTGTTTACATTACCCTTCATATCCCAATTCTTAATGAAGGAATATAAAGTTTGCATTCCCAACTGATCCTCTGGTTAAGATAACGTTCCTGTCTCTAATAATCCCAGCGATGTATGTATTATTTTGTATTGACCTTTCATCTGGTATATTTATAGCCATTCCTCAATCCACTGTTAGTTGAACACTCGACCTGCCTATCGCCTCCTCCGATAGCTGTGCAATGGCACACATGTCCTTGCCTGGAGCGTGACCTAATTCCGTTGCCAGCTCCCACTGCGGGGAAGGCGGAGCCCTGAGAACCGTAACGCAGTTTGGCTGTGACCCAAACTCTGCACGTTGCTGTTGCAAATTAGGCCAAACCGGTCTCGTCGAGTTCTCACCTGGTTCAACAAATAAACGCACTTGGCTGCACAGTCTATCATAAATGTTGTGTGTCACTTGCCGTGCTGTGCACGGGCTAGAGAAGAAATTGACTGATGCGGTACAAACAGATTGTGGAGCTACTGCGCAGTTGGGGAGGCTGTCACTCTCCAACAACAACAAATGGAGGTACAGTGGGGAACACAGGTGGTGCATTTTGTCAATCATCCGAGTAAGTCAACCTACGGCACCTGTGTCTGTCCTGTGACCTGCCAGCGAGCGCTTGACATTTCACGTGGCCTCAAGGTACACATAGCCTGGCACGAGCACCGTGGTGATGTCACCATCACGGAGTGGCCAATGGTGGTTGTTCTTGTTATGCAATACATTAAGTCCATTTTACCTGCATTATGTTGGCATGCAGCTCCATCTCTAGTTCCTGCCAAACCACCTTGGTTATGATCTTTGTGATGTTAAACCCTGAATTGTTCTCTGACACAAGTGGACTGCCAAGTTTGGAGAGTGCCTAATGTGAATGGGATAATCTAATCCCTAAACGAAGTTGATATAGCAACATGGAGGTGTGATGTGGACAAAGAAAACACTTTGAACTAGAGGGTATATCTCGTGACCAGCAATGGATGATGTGTCAATGCAAGATTTCACGTGACTTGAGATCCCCTTGTGTGCAGGAAATCAACCAGTTCCTGTCTTGGCGATGTTATGAATTGTCACAATTCAGAGGTGCAATCTGATTTCAGTTTCCATCGTTTATCGTCCAATTTTTACCATTTGCTTCGTTTGTTTCTCAGTTCATTCCGTCTCATTTGGACAGCTTTGGACTCTCCATTAGCCAAAATGTAACGTCATGTGATTTACATACATCATAAAACCACACACGCACAGTTTGATGCACGTGTCTTGAGCGCTGAATTTGTGCATCGCAAGGACCCCGAGAGATGGCGACGGCTTGGGGAAGCATTCATCTATGAGCGTGTTAATCTTGGCTTGATGATGACCACGATTACGAGCGTTGAGATTGAACGTCGACTAATCGGTGGGCGTCATTACGCGCCGAGTGTTTATCCCGTGTGCGCGACGCGGCTTGCTTGTTCCCCGCAGTCTGCTGCTCAACACTGATGACGGAGAGCTACTGCTGGACTACTCCAAGAACCTCATCACACCGGAGGTCATGGACCTGCTGCTCGACCTGGTGGGTGCCTTTTGGTTGATGCGTTCACTCGTTGCCTTGAGGTGCATTTGCGATGGACGTTCATATATCGTGTGGCTGTGCAGTCTTGCAGTGAGCGGGCTTGTCACTGGGCCACCACGCGTGGTAATTTAATGATGAACAAGTAATTATAATGAATGCGTCAAGCACGGTTAAATAACTCCCACATTCTACACGGTGTGGAGAGGCACGCATCCAGCAGTGGATGGACAAAAGTGATGTACATGAATCATAATAGTACATGCATAAATAGTACTTCTACTATTTGTACATGTACCATAATACAACTGTTGATAAATGGACTCGCTGCCTACGAGCCGAGTGAATGATATATGAACCGGTCCTGGGCCCTCCACTTTAACCAACACACAATGTCCACCGTGGTGAAGTATGGTCAAACGACTGCCGTGATTGATAGGGCACAGGGAAAGTCTTCGTAGAGCAACGAATACATCTCTGTAAATTATTATTACTGCATCTAACCTTGACTCACAGAGTGGCCAACGTAGAAGGATGAAAAAGATTGCACATAGAAGAAGATCTGATGCAGGTGGTGATCAGAAGGAAACTGGCACTATTTTTACACAATCTTGATTTGAAGCTTTCGTGACTGCAGGAATCCATACTCTTTGGTTCTTTCGGCAAAGTCACGTGGGTAGAAAATTAATATATCACGACGTTTCGCACACAACACAAGCGGCCGTCTTCAGGTGAGACGGTCGCTTGTGTTGCGATCGAAACGTCGTCATCTGTTAATTTTCTACCCACGTGACTTTACCGAAAGAATCAAAGAGTATTTTAACACACATGTAGGATGGACAGCAAGAGGAAACTTAAAAGTGTGTTGTTTGGAAAAGTGGAAGGAATCGGGAATGAGAGGAGAAGACCTAACAGGTAAATGGCTTGACGACGACACAGGGGATTGGTGCAACAAAGATGTGGCACTACTTGAGCACAAGTGGCACAAGGCAGAGGAAAGTGGAAACAAATGACGAAATGTGCAGCAGACACCTACTGGCTATCTGCCCCAGACACCTACTGGCTCTCTGCCCCAGACACCTACTGGCTCTCTGCCCCAGACACCTACTGGCTCTCTGCCCCAGACACCTACTGGCTCTCTGCCCGTGGATTGCGATGATGAAATTATTATTGTTTGATGGCCCAAATCCAGGACTTGGATGAGCGCCGGGTTGGTTGCCTTGCATATCCAAGGCAAACTTTCGAGCTGTTCAGTGGGACGGCTGCTTACGTTGAGAAACCGTTGGCTTATGGTGACTCGCTCTGACCTCGCCGCGTCTTTTCAGTGCCAGGAAGTGACTCGGCAGGAAAATTTGGGACGCGCGGTGCTCGGTACAGTGCCCGTGCGCCATTTCATAACCTTCACCGTCCGGAGTTGCTCGTTCGCGTGGCGGTGGCACGTTGCCATGAATTGCTTCTGAAAGTCTAGCCGCTCGTTTCACCCCCAGTGATGCGCTAAGCTTTCACTGGCCCGCGAAGGCAAGATTTTGCCACTGCCGTGTTGATTAACCTTGACAATGTTTCGCAGCGCCCACAGATAAAATGTCGTTTCACGTTCATGTTTTTTTCCCCTTCATTCATCATAAAATACCACCTGAATAAAAAATAATAATTGGCATTCCTTCGTCAGGCCCCTGCTGTATGGAGGCCTTCTCGTGCTGTGTCATTCTTTGGGGTTTATTTTAGCATACTTCACCAAGCTCACCTGGGGATTTGTGGGGGGGTGGACGCTCCATTACTAGTTCAGATATCACTTTCTACTCCTATTAACGGTCGCCAGGATTCTAACTCGGGTAGTCAAGGTAATAACTGGGTGCACAAACCACTGCCCCACCGCTACCCCAACACTGCCTTGTAATAGAACACTGTCGCGCAAGGCTGCAGCCACTGGCATTGCTCGCCCTCCACTCCCACCGCCCTGAGCTGAGTGACAAGTCACCGTTAGACAGGACGCAACACATTCGTCAATAACACTGCCTGCAGTTGCCTATTTTATATTCATATTAAAACCGCCTTATTGACGAATGTATTGAGGTTTTTGTAGTTGTTGCTATTTGTGCTTGTGCGCCGTTGCCATCGCGGTAGCGTCACCAAACAGTGGCGTTAGTAAGGGTTCGGTGTAGTCAAATCCTGTGGTATCTAGGGCTTGGCTCAAAATGCTTCGAATTTTTTGCCTCCTGTTTTCTTTCAAACCATTTATTTAAAAAAAAACTGACCACAATTGTGTTTATCCACACACACACATTGAATATTTACTCAATACTGGACTAATTGCCCAGCTAATGCCCTTGAAGTCAGATGAGTGTTGTCGAAGGTGAGCTCCAGTTTTAATTGAGTTTCCCGGCGCATTCTACACCCGGCCCGATCTGCACTGGTTTGATCGGTGCGTTTCAGGTCTCGGCGCCGGTCCTCATGAGCCCCCCATGTGACCCCTCCCCTCGGGACCCCCCATCGGGGCCCCCCCCTCGGGATCCTTCCTCGGGACCCCCCCTCATGACCCCCCACATGCAGTGCCGTGGCTTCACTTGGGGGAGGGGTCGCCCATGAAAAAGACCTCGCTGTCTCAGTGGCCCTTCCCTCCGGGATGCCAAACCAGATGTCACGGCGAGACAAATTATGTCTGGTGGCCTGGTTGATGGCATTCGTGGTATTGGGGACACTGAATAAATTTTATTGATTTTATTTAAAAAGCGTAATATGTATTTTTTCGTTTGCAAGGGGTGTACCAAGGTCAAACGAAGGTTGCCATCCTCAGCCCACACTCTTGCCCCATCGGATCTTTCGACAGATGACTATAAGTTTAACACTTAGGCATTTGCGACTAATATCATCCATGTGATCTAACCCCCAAAAAAACTATATTAGAGATGAATATAAAGTTTTCCTCGGTCTCATTTCATAGCTAAACAACCTTGATTTACATTTGTAATTGTTGCTATTCAAACACAGCCACACACAATCAGAATAGTTTGATCCCTGACTATGCAGGACATTACGAAAGGCGTTTCATTTGCCGGGGAAGAAGATCCCATAACAGTTCTCAGGAGCAGCCCATTATGCGCTGAGTATCCTTGCCTGAACTCTTAAATCACCGGTGCCTCGTGTTGGTTGAACTTTCCCCTTTGCTGGGTGTGGTGGAAGTAAGTGGGAGTCGACGCTGATCCAGGTCGTTTGGGGCCTGCGTGGCTTGCAGTCCACACGCGAATCACGACGATGGTTACACACGCCGGCCGATACAATCGCATCCTGAAACCAAGTCGGGTTTTGCCTGGATGGTGCTTGCATGGGTGTCCACCACGAGCAATGGGTTGTTACAGGCTGCGGGGCTACACGGTGGGCAGCGGGGGGGGGGGCATTGGCAGCAAACTCCGCGGTTGTACTGTGCTCATATGCTTCCGCTCCTGGGTAGGGATCAGCAATGCAGTGGTTTGCGTGCTGCAGAGTGAAATTGTCGAGCCGAGTTTAATTCCCAGTGACGGATAACATCGGTGATATCTGAACTGGTTCTGGTGCACGCTAACCCACACTGACCAGCTTGGTGAAGTTTGGTTAAACCAAACCCCCACGACGGACACGATATCAGAGGTCTTCGACCAGCTGTGGATTGACAATGGGCTGTAAATGTGATTGCTCGTGTGTGATGCGTGCGCTTGTTCGTGTGCTCTCAAACACAGTGGAGTGATCCTGGCACTTGGCTACATTCTTCGCCGATGAGATTAGATTCTCGGCAAGGCCCGGTAAACGTGCCAACGTTGGGCCAGCATCGGCGTGCGGTTGGGGAACCGTTGACCCCAACATTGCTCCAACGTGTAGCATGCTTTACCTTGGGGCGCTATCTCAAGCTGTCCTGAGTGTCCCCGAGGTTCACACGGCTGTAACCGAGCGCATGTTTTGGGTCGTGTAATCATTTGCGTCGGGGAGACGGAGGTGGCCGGGCGTGCGATGCTGGCCACACCAGCCCTTCGTGTGTGCCATGCGAGCCTTAATCGGTGCTCGCTAACAGCACTTGGCCCCAACAGTCTCGAATTCTGCACATCACTGAGGATCTTTTGTCTGTACCTTTGTACCGTTGCGTCCTTGCGTTCAGGCACGTTCACGTGGAATTGAAAAGGCCAGAGACCGCATGTTCAGCGGGGAGAAGATTAACTTCACAGAGGTGAGTGCCGGGGAGGGGGCGGGCTGTGGGGGTGCTCATCGCACGCACAAAACGACCGCCGCCCCACCCCTCGAACGCCCCGCCCCTCGAACGCCCCGCCCCTGGAACGCCCCGCCCCTGGAACGCCCCGCACCTCGAACGCCGCGCCCCTCGAACGCCGCGCCCCTCGAACGCCGCGCCCCTCGAACGCCGCGCCCCTCGAACGTCCCGCCCCTCGGAACGCCCCGCCCCTCGGAACGCCCCGCCCCTCGACCCAAAAGCCGGCTCCTACGCAGTCGGCTCATTTTTCCAGTTTCATTTATGGTATATCCCTGTGAACCATTCGGCTCTTGAATCATGCGCACGAAGGCTGCCTCTTGTTGACGCTGGCAGGGGGTGCCGCGGTGGCGAGATGTTAACTCCCTCGCCTGGTGTACAGGAGGTCGTGGGTGCGATCCCGACCCTGACACCTGCTGCTGTATATTTGGAAGCTTGCGTGTTCTCTCCGTGGTCGCGTGGATTTCTCCCCGAGCCATCCAGTTTTTACCCCTCCACATTTAGAATCGACAAGCGTTTCGAGTATTTGGCTGCTATAAATTTCCACCTGATAAGCGACTTCATTTGGCTGTTACGTGTGATAGCGAGGTGGCTTCTGAAAAACGAGTTGTATAGCTCGGTGGGCCTTACCCGGTGAAATAAAAAAAAAAGTTCAGTTTAGTTTCAGGCCCACTGCAGAAACGCAACCGCAGCGTTTGTGCGACGGCTGCCCGACTTGAAGCGAAATCCCATGAGGGCGTGCATACGGCTGTCGGCTACAGCGCAGGTCCGCACCTGTAGGGCCACAGGGCGGCATGACGAGTGCAGCCCTTAACTTCTCTCGCCGCCCCCCCCAACTCGGTGAGCAATTGCGTGCAGGAAATGCCCCTCCGTCGATGGATTCGCAGAGACTAATTAAACAGACGTTTGTGCGATTTTTGCGTTGGCGGTCGTGCGTGAGCATGAATAACCAAAAGCTCGATGCAGTGCTCGATAACACTGCCTTGAAGAGGGACAAAAACATCACAAGTGGCTCTTCTTCATTGCACAGCAGAGAAGACAGCCCCATTGCCCAATATGTCAACGATTATATTTATCCTCTTTATGACAACGTTATTGATGCACGTGTTGACTTTTGGCAGAAGACATGCTGCTACAACGGTGGAGACAAATATTGAGCAGTTGAGCACCCAAGTCATATTGGGCATCATTTTCAGTTATTTGGAGAGCTTGGCGCATGACCAAGAAAATGTGACCGTCAGCTGTTGCAGGCATTGGCACAGAACGAAAGGGGGCATGGCTCTGTGGGAGTTCCAGGAGATGAATCGCGCGCTTTGTCGTCGCCATAATTCGCCGATGCCGAGTTGACCGCGGGCGGTCTAGCGTTACGCGTGAAGTTAATGAATGACAGCACCACTGTCATGTTTGATAGAGGGCCAATGCCTGCGATTGATGACCGGCTGGCAGTTGGCGTCACTGGTGGCCACCGGCGAAGCCAATGGGTCTGCATCACCTGAAACTGATGGTGCTAATGGGACAGGGTGGTGGTGTGGGGGTGATGGTGTGGTGTGTGGTCCTGTTGAGGAGCGGTTGCGTCGTGGTTGGCGCGCTGTGCGACAATACCGGCGACCCGAGTTGGATTCCCGCTCACGGTCAACACCGGTGAGGACGATCTGAACCGGTCGTGGGCCTCCCCCCTGGGTCGAGTGATATCTCGTGGTTTCAGTGCAGTTTAATTAAAGCTTTTTATATTTCTTTTTTATTTTGCTCTGCAATGTCTTGCAATGCCCCGTAATGCCCTGCAATGCCCTGCAATGTCCCACAATGCCCCGCAGAACCGCGCGGTGCTGCACGTGGCTTTGCGCAACCGCTCCAGCAAGCCGATGGTGGTGGACGGCAAGGACGTGATGCCCGACGTTAACGCCGTGCTGGAAAAGATGCGCGGCTTCTGCGAGGTACGGGGAGGGGGCGGGGGGGTTGGTGGTGGGGAGGGGAGGGAGAATGGGGGGAGGTATGGGGGGGGGGACTGCCCCATGGGACCAATCCGACCCCCACTTCTCCACACGCACACACGCACAAACAACAACAACAACAGCAGTGGCCGCCATTTGCCAGTCAGTGGGGGTGGCGTCACCGCGACGCTTGTGCCAGGCTTGGGTGCACTTCATAGTTCATTGTTTCATTTATTAGGTATAGCCCTGTGAGCCATTCGGCTGTTGAATCGGGTGCAACCGCAACAAACAAAAAAACATGAACAAGAAAACATCTTAAACTGACTATGTGACTGTGCAAACAGAAAATACAGGAAAAAAACATAAAAAAATATTCCTTCATGGCCATGTTGAAGCGATGAAAGGCGCGCTGCTGGCGGGAGGTCACGGGACGACCCCAGGTGCCACGGGTTGACCGACTGAGAAGACTGGCAGGCGCACCACCCCGCTGTGCAAATCTGCCGTGTGGGGGTGACGCACGCAGACAAAGACTCAGGATCCCTCCCCACCGCCACCATATAGCCTACATAGGATGTTGGCGCAAGTGCTGCTATCATGCACATGCCAAAGATTCGCAATCAAGTTAACTCTCGATCATCCAGGGCAGTTGGAGGGTAGCGGTTGGAAGCTCAATTAAAATAGAAACATGGATAGCAGGAATCCCATGTTTCGAGAGATATATTTTATTATTTTTTTCTCAGAAGCACGGCTAATCTGCGACCCTGATTAATCGGTCCACGGACAGTCGAGAGTTATCTGTACAGTGCAAACTCCTTTGCAAGTGACTTCGTTTACAATCTTGCAAGCGTGTTGCCCGAACACCACCTCGCGTTATTTTACCGCTGCAGTTTTATTGCCTCTGTTACCACCACTTTGCTTCGCCCGGCGTCCACGTTCCCAATCCGTATGACCGAGCGGGTGACGCGCGCTGGCCGCAAACATTCGGCGCGGCAATGTGCGTTTCTCTTTTAGCCGCGAACCTCGCCTCGGGAATTCCGCGCCGCTTTACTTTCCGCTTGAACCACGCGTCGGAAACGCTCGCTCGCACGCACCCACGGTGCTCAGACCCGCCCGCCGGCCCGCGCATTTGTCGTGTTTCCCCTGCGCAGAGGGTGCGGAGCGGACAGTGGAAGGGCTACTCTGGCAAGCCAATCGCCGACGTCGTCAACATCGGCATCGGCGGCTCTGACCTGGTACGTGCGGGTCGCAGCTTGTGGCGCGGCTTACCCGGCGCCGTTCGCGTGACACCGCCGCGGTCGTTGCAGGTGGCCCGGGTCGCCCGGCGATTCTCTTTGTTGTTGTTGCGTGTATTGTTGTTGTTCCCCACGATGTCAAGATGTCATGGTTGTAGCACCCCCCCCCGCCCTCTCCAGTGGCTTTCAACTGTCGCATAAAGCCGTTACGTTGGATGTATACGCAATCGTTGCACGCAATCGATTTCCGCACCCAGGATTCGACACGCGCCACCGCAAGCTTGAGAATCAATTTTTTTGGTGTTGTTTTTAATCGACTTGATGCCTGTTGCAAGCTTCTTGTGCGCGCACTCTGCTTTGAGATGCCGCGCTATAAATTTCCACACAATAAACCAATTAGTTGAGCTATCATTCGTGGCCAGGTCGCTTCTGGAAAAAACAGCTACGTAGCTCAGTGGGGTCTCACCTGGTAAAATTAAAAATAACTGTTTACTTTAGAGACCCTTCTGCCAGCAGGGGAGTGAGTGAGAAATTCCAGGGCTGTTCCTTTACCGTCACCCGCAGGGCCCCCTGATGGTGACCGAGGCGTTGAAGCCGTACTCGAAGGGCGGCCCCAACTCGTGGTTCGTGTCGAACATCGACGGCACGCACATGGCCAAGACGCTCGCCGTGCTCGACCCCGAGACGACGCTCTTCATCATTGCGTCCAAGGTCCGGGGGCCCACTTACCCTTTGACCCCCGCGCCGCGCAACGCCAATGGACCAGGTCCTTTTTATACACATATATATATGAAACTACTTTGGTTGGTCTTTATTTTACTGCAATCTGTGCCAATTGGTGAGACGAATGCATCGGAAGCAATCCACGTCACTCGCGGACCCAAAGGCGATGGTGGCGATGATGATGATGGAGGTGATGGTGAAGGTGGATGATGGAGGTGACGATGGCTCGTTTGTGTGCGTGCAGACGTTCACGACTCAGGAGACGATCACCAACGCCGAGTCGGCCAAGGAGTGGTTCCTGAAGAAAGCTGGAGACGTGAGTTGGTTTGCGGAAGCACTGCAGATTTAAGACGCTAATTGCTAAATTGTAGTCTGAGTAAGCTTCCTTAGTAATGTATCATCAAACACAATATCTGACTTAATTGTACATGACCACATGGACCTGAATGTGCCTCATATCGTAGAAGATCTCTGAATCTAAGCGGGGTTCGAGCCTGATTATTGGGTGAATGGGAGGACTGTCTTGGGAATGCCAGGTATGGTCGGTGTTGGGCAGAGAGCTTTGAGTCATATTCCCCCTCGTATGCAAAGGGTTTTCTCCGGGTACCCCAGTTTTTTCCCATATCCGAAGCGCTATGTTATGATAATGTTTCTTTTTATATAGCGTCATCATTCATGCAAATTGCATCTCACAATCACCAAGGAACCACAGGCACTCGGTGGAAGCCATCCAGGCGGTGAGCTTGCCCTACCAACAATTGCCCATCCTCCGCAGTCTATTAAGATGTTTTCGGTGAATCAGTGAGCGTTTATACACGTGCGAGGAAACCAGAGCACCCGGAGAAAACCCACACAGCGGGAACCGATGCAACAAGTTGACCTCGCTTTACCCTCTTCTCCTGGGTAGGGAGTCTCGCAAACATCTCTGTGTGTGATCCACCAGCCCTCGCTGTCTCCACAGCATCACTGGGTTGCAGGCCACGTGCAGCCTAGCCACCACCACCCGGTAGCGTTTAAAACATCGTGAACCAATAGGATGCCGGGACACGCTTCCTCCGTGATGACCCACCGACTTGACGTTTCGGTTTTGGTAATGTGGCGAGATAAATGAAAGGGTTTCCCAAAAAAAACCCCTTCTATTTATTTGCACGCCATTTTTTTGCAATTCTAAACACATCTACGCAAGCGGTTACATAGCCCCCGTGCTTTTCTATTTACACACGGTGAGCGGGCGAGCGGGCGGGCGGGCGGGCGGGCATTCGGTGGTGGACCCTGGACGCCCGCTGGACCGTAGGAACGCGCGCGCAGTTGCCGCTTGCGCGACTTCTTGACGGATTTTTTGTTTCTCTCTTTCCATCAGCCGGCGGCAGTCGCGAAGCACTTCGTGGCACTCTCCACAAACGGGGTGAGTGCCCTGGCGGCAGCGCTGCGCCCTTAGAAGCGGCGTCGCGTTTTCACAGTTTGTGTTTTTATTTGTTTGTCCGCGCGCTTTATCACGCTCGATTCGGGTCGCGCGCTTTCGGATGCATTCCTGCGTCCGTCTGGAATGCACTTCATTCCGATATTCGGAAGCCACTGGAACGTTGCACTTTGAAATATAGATTGAAAACGAATTTCTTTAGAACTGTTTTTTTTGGTTTGGTTAGTTTTCCGTCCCCCGCACCTCATATTTGAATGGTTGGTTAAATACGGTGTGAAAGAAGTTCAACATACATACAGACAGGTGGATTTTGGGGGGCACACGCATTTACGAATGTTGTCTTTTGCAGGAAAAAGTGAAGGCTTTCGGCATCGACACAAATAACATGTTCGAGTTCTGGGATGTAAGTATTGCAGGAAGAACATTTGTATGTGATAATAGTAATAATAATCACGTTTGGTATTTAAGCCATTGTTGTAGGACAAGGCTGTCCCGAAGGACAGTCATTCACGAGTGGATGTTTACATACAAATGAAAATGGCAGTTTTAGCTTATTTTTTTGCAGTTATTTGAGAAATCACGTAGGTGAATAAATAAATAAAAATATAAATCAATCAATCATGACGTTTCGATTGCAACACAAGCAATCATCATCAGGTGTGACAACCACAGCAAGGGATTTCTTTATTATTTATTTGCTTTTTAACCTACATGACTTTACCGAAAGAACCAAAGAGTATGGATCCTTGCAGTCACGAAAACTTCAAATCTAGAAAGTTATTTGAGAACACAGTTTTTTGGGTTAGATCGCTTATAGGTAAGATGTGTCGTAAACCCACCTCCACCCGACACAACCAACAAAATAAACTCTTGACGCACGATAAATACCATTACATTTCTGAAGCTAAGCAGGCCTTGAGCCTGTGAAGTACTTCCATGGGAACACCTGGTGTTGTATGCCAAGGCTACAGGCAGCAGGAGGGGTATGATGGGGTGCAATGGATTATTGAATCTACGCAGAGCTTTGAACGTCAACCCTTGTTGCGTGGGTTTTTTTCCGGCTACTCTCGAGAACCGGCTAAACATCCCCCCCTACAGGACTAACAAAAATCTTCTTGAGACTGTGTGGCTTTCCTGGGTTAAATATAGGACTCGAGGCCTGGTGCCCACAGGGTTAAGGGAAGTAGGGAAGGGCGATTGGGCTCTCACTGCCTTGCGTAGACGTGTTATCATGATAATCTTCAAGGTCCGTCATGAAGTTTGCCGGCGTGCCCTTGGCAATGCACCACTCCTCACGAAGGTGAATTATTATTTGCCCCCCCTCCCTTTTGGTTGTGCTGTGCAGTGGGTGGGAGGTCGTTATTCACTCTGGTCGGCGATCGGCCTCTCCATCGCCCTGCACATCGGTGAGTCTGTGTGTGTGTGTGTATATGTACGTAGTATGCATGTTGAACTTCTTTCACATCGTATGTAGGCAGCCGTGCTAATCGGAGGTGCGGCTATTCGGAGGTGCGGGTTCTTGGTGTTGGGAAGGGCATGGGAAAGCAAACCACGGGAGGTTGAAGGCAGTCAGCGTTTTGTGACGACCGCGGTTTTAGCGCGTCTAACAGAAATGACTATTGATGTTATTTGTACCGATTTGGATTATTACCAAATTACTTTGTGGTCATCGTCGTAAAGTATCGACCTTCATTACATGTGACATTAATTGATGCTGCGTTTGGCAGCGGTGCATGAGCACATATTACAATTACTCAACACGCGCGTCAATGACACTGTGGCATTCAAATGAACGCACGTATAATTGGCGACATTTCTAGCAGTGGACCTTCATGTACGTGATGTCAAAGGTCCATTGTCTAAAATGTTGGCTACTATACATTTTTCGTTCCAAGGGAATGTTATTGACTAATGTGTTAAAAAAAAATTGTAGTTTATGTGTGTGTGTACATGTGTAACCATGTATGTAGCTTACTTTATTTAATCCAATAATCGTTGGCAAAAAACAAAAGTCACAATTCTGGGTATTATACTTTTTTATTAACAATGAATCCTTACCGGCGGTCACATTGTGTCACACTTTCATTAAAATCGGATCACTTTGGGATTCGCGTTTAATTCGTTTATGAATGCTCTGTTTGGCATTTTGGGGGAAGCAGTGGTGCAGTGGTTACCACACTCTACCGTACCGCACTCCGCGGTACAACCGGCAAACCTCAGTTCGAGTCCCGCCCACAACAAAAATCAGTGGTGCATGACTCCCGAACCAGTCGCGGGCACCCTCAAATTCACCAACCGGTGTGGCCAAGTATGGTCAAGCAAATCCCATGACTGACATGGCATGGGGACAGCTTCATCCGGCGGTGGATTGGAAAAAAAAAAGTACCAAAAGTCATCTTTGCTGCTGTGTTTTGTTGCGTAGCATTTCCGTAACTCAGCCGCTTGTCTCGTTGTGTTTGTTCACTTTCAGGCTTTGAAAACTTTGAGCAGCTGCTCAGTGGAGCTCACTGGATGGTAGGGAACCCGCTCCAGCCCCCCCCCCCCACCTCGCTTACCATGCACCCCCATTAATCGCTCGAATTCAAATAGAGCACATGCCTCACCGGTTGCATTGTCAGTGGCTGCGTATGCAACATGCTGATTGTGGCACGAGTAATCCCAGTGGACATAGCTGCGAGCGGTCCGATGACTACATCGTCAGGAATTGACGCGACACCTTCCGCAGGGTTCAGTCGGGATGGAATGTTTGAATGGGCGACCAGGATAAAGCGTAACAATTATATATACACACGGACCATAAAATGTAGACGATTGGAGAACTTGGGTGGTTGTTGGTGGCGGCGGTGGCGGCGGCTCACTGATTGGCTGCCTTCCAACTTGCCCGTGGTTCATCTGCGGCTGCCAGATGCAATTTTCCTGTTCAACGACGCCGTATGTCAATACGTAGAAACAACGGTGCAAACAACTAAGCACCTCCGATTAGCACGGTTGGCTACGTACGTTACGAAAGGAGTTCAACGTACATACAATGCTTCAAGTCACTCGTGCTAGGCATTTCTACCAACCGGTGTTTTTGTTATATATATTGTGCAAATGAAGGCAATCGGCCTCCAGAGTGAATACTTATCCATCGTGAAGGTTTTATGGGTTAGAGCGTGTAAATGAAAAATGCGTCGTTAAACCCGCCACCACCCGACACAGCCAATCGGTAAGGTTTGTCACGTGAACAGAACGTGGAAATGAGTTACTCGTTCGGCACACCGGCGGCGTGTGACGATTATCATCGAATGCTTTAGCGGCGGCGAGCGCCGCGAGCCCAGTGGTGACGGGCGGCCCCTCGTGTGCCGGCGAGCAGGACAACCACTTCTGCAGCGCGCCCCTCGCGAAGAACGCGCCGGTGATCCTGGCGCTGCTGGGCGTGTGGTACGGCAACTTCTTCGGCGCCGAGACGCACGCTCTGCTGCCCTACGACCAGTACATGCACCGCTTCGCCGCCTACTTCCAGCAGGTGCCCCACCCCCCCCACACCCCCCCACCCCTATATCCGGCCACTCGATAAGAACAACCGGCGCTCGCTTGAACGAGGAGAACGTACAAACCTGCAAACGATTCACTCGCAGGGCAATGCCGACGACATTGACGCGCACGCCTCGGTGGGCGCGTGACGGCGCAGAGATGAGGAAGTTTACACTCGCGACCGGTGCAACGTGACGTGCGCGTGAGATTCGCGGGTTTTTTTTTTTTAATTCGTGGTTTTCGTTGGCCATGACCTATCCACTGCTGCTGTGTGAAGGACTCGGCCACGTTGTCGCGGCCTCTCGTGGTTACCGTGATACAACGATCCGTCCGGCTCTCGCACCGCAGGTTTTTATGCATTGATATGCTGATGATACATTTCGGCTAATGGAGCGAACAAAGGCGTACGGGACAGGCGCGAATGAGATGTGGAAAAAAAAACCGGTGGAAAATAATCTGCTCCGGAATGGAATCGCAACCTCCAAATCTTGACAGTTCTCATCGGGTCGCCAAAAGAAAAGGCCGGAAAAAACGAGAATAAATATTCGATATTCCCAAGGCTGTTAATGTCTTTTGTAGATGTAAAAATCTCGCATCTCGATAGCTAGAGTGTCAATGGCGCCTCTGGTGGTGGCCAAGTACGTGTCTTTCGTTAATTTATTTCATACGTTGCAGAATTGCAAGGTTGCTTGTACGAGGCTCTCTCTGGCTTACAAGCAAGCTGTGTTGTCGCTCACCGCGACTGGCCTACACGACCCACCCTTGGCAAAATAACAACACCAACACGCATTCCTCGTGTTCCTGTTTGCCATTCACGTGAAGCTTGCTCCATCTAGCGGTCGACGTCTTGTCGATTTTTAAAATTCTCTTTCAGCCAGATCTATTCGTTCCGCAGCTGTGTTAAGGTTCACCAGACTTGTCAGTCAGTTCCGCTGATCACCTTTAAGACTAAACGTAGTCATGAAAACATAACTGTCAACCCATACGGTTAACCCGTATTCTTGTACAGGGAAATCGAGTCCGTATGGCGTACAGCCGTTTCATTACGGGTAAAAATATATATGTTGCCTATTTGTTTGTGTTTCTCCCTTGTGATGGGACTTTGTAGAATGATAGGTAAATAGACCAATAAGGTCTGAATAGGGAGTTGACAGGTATCTGAAAAGCTCATACCATTCCAGTCAGAAACGTGTGGGTAAGAAGCACGGACATTGACACGGACGTTTGAAAAAAGCTGAAAAGTGCGCAGAGAACCGTGGACAGTTGCATGCTTGGATATTCACAGAATACACTTAAAGATGAGAACAAATGTGATTCCAGAAATGTGTGTTTTATGTATATCTAAAGTAACACCGCCGCTGTCCAGACTAATAGTGGGGGGAGCATTGGCGTGGCTGCTGGAAAGTCTGCCTAGTGGCTAAACTCATGAAAACTTAAGTAACACGAGCCCTGTCTATATGAGTTAAGTGTATCTGCGCGAGTGCATTTTACTATGCAAACCAAAAACTACTCGCTGCAGGTACTGCATTGTGTGCAATGCAGTTCTGTACTCGCCAGCCCTCCCCACAAATCAACATATGAATTGCATTGTACACACACACAGAGTGCAGTTCTGTACAAGTTTCCCTTCATTGTTCCATGCGTTGGTCACACATTTACCCACAAGCCCTCGTCGGCATACCCCACTGCCCCCCCTCCATCCCCCATTGCCCCCCCCCCCCCTCCAGCTCCCCCCTCCATCCCCCATAGCCCCTCTTCCATCCCCCATTGCCCCCCCTCCATCCCCCATAGCCCCCCCTTCCATCCCCCATTGCCCCTTCTTCCATCCCCCATTGCCCCCCCCCCCTCCATCCCCTATTGCCCCCCCTTCACCCCCATCAGTAGTGCGAGTCCTCTACGTGCTCTAGAGGGCGGCTGAGACTTTCCTTGGCAGCTACGCAAATAATTTTGTTATTTAGCTAACCTCGTGGGCTAAATGCAAAATCCAGCTAGCCTGGGGCTCCAGCTAAACAGGGTCTTACTGTATACTACATATATTATTTTCATATATCACTAAAATAATAAATAAAACACAGCGTTTACCAAAAGAAAACGCACACTGACGCCTTTCTGAATGCAGAGTCACACCATTACCCCGCACAAAAATCCTCTCTCATCAAGACGCTCGTACATCGGGCTAAGAAAGTGTCACATAGTGACATTCTGAGAAGTGAAATTAAATATGTTAAAGAAGTGCTGCAATTGAACGGTTACAATGATGCACAAATCAACAGGGCACTGAATGCCAAAACCAAATAAAATAACACAAGGGTTGAATGCGGGAGTAACTGATAAACTCGCCAGATGTTTGGAAAAACAAAACATCCGATTCAGATTTGGCACGGTACATAAAAAGCTGAAATTAATATCTGGTACTAAAGATGTATTACCGAAGCTATCAACATGAGGTGTGTACAGGATTAATTGCTCGTGTGGCAAATGCTATGTTGGTCAGACAGGACGAATGAACAGCTAGGGATTAAAATAACATACTCTTTGGTTCTTTTGGTAAAGTCATGTACGTAAAAAAATACCTTTTTTTTTCTACCAAAGAGTATGGATTCATGCAGTCACAAAAGCTTCAAATCAAGACTAAAGGAACACCAAAGGAAAATTAAATAACAATCGGGTTTTTCCCCTTTTTTCTGGCAACAAAACTGAAACCTTTTTACAAGGAATCACGTGTGCATTAACCACAATACTTGTGGTCAAAATGCGAACACAAAACAGTGATAATATATGCATTGTCGTTGAAACTGATTGGTCCACACCAAGGGACGGCTTTCTTTTGAGGCTCGTCTCAATTGGTGCTAGACCAGAGGACGCCAAAAGGCGTACAGCTCAAAGACGATGCACTATCAAAGTAATGAGGGCGCGGGGTGAGCATCTACATCATTAGACCTCCTTTGCCAGTACCAAAATATAATAATAGGGTTTTTCCCCTTTTTTCTGGCAACAAAAGTGAAACCTTTTTAAGAGGAATCATGTCTGCATTAACCACATTACTTGTGGTCAAAATGCAAATAAAAAACATAGTGATAATATATGCATTGTCCTTGAAACTGATTGATTTGCATAAAGAAATGTATGCAAACTGACACACCTGATGATGACCGTTTGTGTTATGGTCGAAACGTCGTGATAATTTTTATTGTTTTATATATATTTTATTATTTATTGTTTCCCTTCAACGTGACTTTACCGAAAGAGCTAAGAATATGAATTACTGCAGTCACGAAAGCTTTAAATCAAGACAAATTTATATTTAAGCGACCTAACCCAAAAAACCTGTATTATGGTTCCTATATCACCTTGAGTGTGCCCGATCTCATCATGTTTTGGAAGCTAAGCAGGTTTGATCCTGGATAGTGCTTGGGTGGGTGACTACTGCGCACGTGACAGGTTTCATGGGGCTACGGCACTATGTGGTGATCAGCAGCAGCAGCAGCAGAAGGCATTGCGGCATTGTTGTTCTGTACTGCTATGGCCTCACCTATGCTCCTGGTCTTCACCAACCCACACTGACCAGCGAGGCGAAGTATGGTGAAATAACCGCCACGACCCCTTCGCGGCTGGTGTGGGGATGCCCTAATCCAGCAGTGGATGAACAAAAGAGCCGCGCGCGTTCGTGTATGCAGACTTTGTTGTTAAGACGATCATCACCGCCGCCTCCCTGCGTGTGCCAGGGTGACATGGAGTCCAACGGGAAGTACATCACAAGCTCGGGCCGACGCGTTGACTACAGCACGGGCCCCATCGTGTGGGGCGAGCCGGGCACCAACGGGCAGCACGCCTTCTACCAGCTCATCCACCAAGGTTACACCGTGGGCCTAGGGGTGGGCGGCACTGGCGCCGTTAGGTCCACGTTTGACGGTTGGGGGATCGCACCCTGATCACGGTTTCGTGTCGCGTTGAGGTGCTTGCGAGCGTAGCCCACTCGCATGAGCTCTCCCAACATTTATTTAGAAACTCCTTTTCGTGTTTCGTTTGTTGCCCTTTGCCCCCGCACCTCCGATTGGCATGGTTAGCTACGTACGGTGCGAAAGAAGTTCCCAAAATACGTACATACAGTATCGGTGGACGTACAGGCTTGACTCAAGTTCCTTGGTGCAAACCCACAGTGCAGATTTTGTCCCAAAGCCTCTGGTCTCTTTTCAACTGTAATTTTTTGTTTCGTGGGGAGTGCCCGGCATGTGGGACGCTGCCAGTAAAGGTGCACCTTCTACTAGCTCAGCGGTCGGCAACCAAAATAACAAAAAAGAGACGCAATACAATGTGAATACGAGACGGTGGGGTCCTTAATAAATAACAACGCCACGAAGCAGCCCTCAAAGAGCCGCGTTCGGCTGCGGAGCTGCAGGTTTCCGGACCCCTGCACAAGCTCATCCACCAAGGTGCATCATGGGACATAGGGCGGTACCGGCACCATTGCGTTTGTCGGTAATGGCCCAGAGCGGGCGCCCGATGTGTGGGGAATGACCGTGAATCGTCAGCGGAGCACAGCAACAGTTTGCGTTCCGTGCGTAAGCCGAGCGACAAGCCGAGCGACAAGCCGAGCGACAAGCCGAGCGACAAGCCGAGCGACATGCCGAGCGACATGCCGAGGTGGTGATGCGAGGCTCCCGCTAACCGCGGTGGTTGTTTTCGCGCAGGAACCCGCATGATCCCGGCGGACTTTCTCATCCCCGCTCAAACGCAGCATCCCATCCGAGAGGGCCTGCACCACACGGTAACGGGGTAACGCGGGGCACGGGGGGGACACCTCGGCAAGGGATTGGACGAATCGCGCGCCCCGTCCGCACGACGACCGCCGCCCGCGCGTCCGCTTTGGTCGCGCAAAAGCAAGCGCTTGTGTGGCACCATTTAAAAAAAAAAATTGCGCACGAAACCCATCGCGTGCGTTTCATGTACGGCCGCCGGCACAGGGCAGGGGCTGTTTTGCCGGCCACAAAACAGCGGGGCGAGTCCTTCGTGTAATTGGTCCGGCGTGTTTCCGCTGGGGCGAAACGTCTGGCCCTCGGTTGAGTGCGAGTGAAAAGAGCACTCTGCCAAGTCCTCGACGACTGTGGCTTCATTCATCGCGGGAAATTCAATCTGCGGGCTCGGGCGTAAGACACGGGCGTCGAACATGGAAAAACAACTTGGCATCGGGCGCAGCTGTGTGGCTACGGGAAATGAATTAAAATTAGTTTGGTAAACAAGCTTCCCAAGTGCTCTCTTTCCAATTAAATTCTGGCGACATTTGCCAGAAATTAGTTTGTATAGGATTTTTTTTTTCTCTCTCTCTCTCTCTTACCGGGACATTAACCCCCCGGATTCTGTGAGCCAAGCGGAATTAAATTTCAGCTGAATGCCGTGCCAGTGATCGTGAATCGCATCGCTCAATTCATTTTCATTTGATTGGAATGATGTGTTCCATGTTACCCAACATGCTGTTTCTGTTAACAATGCTGCGCGTAATATACACGTATCGTTTAACTTTGCCCGTCTATTTAAATTGTTGTACGTGGCCAATGGTGCATTTGTGCACTGTTTTGTTTCTTCATATATTTGGTTCAGGCAATGATAATATTGCAGTGGCGAGATGTTAACTACCTCACTTGGTATGCAGGAGGTCATGGGTTCCATCCTGACCCTGACGCCTGTATATTTGGAGTTTGCATGTTCTTGCCGTGGTCGTGTTGATTTTTCTCCGGGGCCTCTGGTTTTTCCCTTCAACATTTAGAAACAACATGCGTTTAAAGTATTTAGCGGCTATACATTTCCATGTGATAAGCCACTTTGTTGAGCTATCATCTGTGGCCAGGTCGCTTCTGAAAACGAATTAAATAGCTCAATGGCTCTTACCTGGTAAAATAAAAAAAATAGTTTTTAATAGTTTAGTATATTGCATTTGTGCCATTAGCCTCTTACCATGGGACCCAAATATTTCCTTGCGAAACTATTAAAGCTATTAAAGCCTGCAGCGCCCCGCCCTGTCACAGAGAACTGTGACACGCAAAGGTCATGTCACAAATATATTCCCGAATGTCCTTACAGTTGCCACCTCTTTACTCTCACCGTAGACACACCGTGGACATGCCCTGCTGCACAGGGGGTTCGCCGCATGGCAAGCAATTAATCTTCGTTTTTTTTTACCTACCAACTCGAGTTGGGAAAAACTTACTGAAAATCCAAACTCGCTGTTGTCATTTTTGTGTGTGTGTTCGTCAATACGCGTGTCACATTCCTCCCCTCTCCCCCCCACCGAGGGATTCGACAAATTGCCACAATTTGAGTTTGCGAATAGATTTAATAATAATAAAAATTATCCAGACGTTTAGACCAGCAGCGGATGGACAGAAAAGGTTTCGTCGGTGCAACATTTCTTGTTTCCTCCCCCGCCGTTTCAGATCTTGCTGGCGAACTTCCTGGCGCAGACGGAGGCGCTGATGAAGGGGAAGACGGAGCAGGAGGCTCGCGCCGAGCTGCAGGGGGCCGGGCTCGCAGGTCCCGCGCTCGACAAGCTCCTCCCCCACAAGGTCACGCACTCACGGGGGCCAAAAAGGTCAACAGGTCGAGGTTTCTAGATGCCTTGCGATCGAAGTGTGTGTGTATATATATATAGTTGGGAGTGGTAGCGCGGTGGTTAGCGCGTCACGCTACGAACCCGGCGACCGGGTTCGATTCCCGCTCATGGTTAACACCAGTGACGATTATCTGAACCGGTCCTGGGCCTCTCCTAGGTTGACTCAACTTCGTATAACAAAGGCGTGGTGCTGGCCACCAACCCCCTCGTGTGCCTTCATATGTGCTCGCTAACAGCACTTGCCTCAAAAGGCTGTGAAGGCTTTGCGGGAGTGTCTTTGTTATATACATTCATACAAAAAATTGTCACGTGTGATGGCAAGAAGAAGATACTGCAATCCAGGAAGACAGTACTTTGTATAAATGCATCGTCCTTCATTCTTACCCCTTACTCTCGTCATTACCAGCACGAGTAAACCGTTGAGTGGTGCTGATGGTGGTGCACACCTGCAGTCCGTTCCTTTGGAGGCGAGGGTTGACTGATCGCGCATTTGTGAAACTTTCAAATCCACTGGGGCCACGAGGCGATAAAGACGCGGCCGGACATAAATTGATTCTTTGATCCTTCTCTTGCTTGTCGTTCTCTTGTGTGCTTAGGGGTGGGGGGGGGGGGTTCATCCAGGAACTTTGCTTTCCACCCACAAGCCAAATGCTCATTCATGGAATTCGGAAAACATGTGCATGCAGAACCTTGTGGGCCCAGATGTCACGCTGCCTACCTGTTGGTCAGATGCCGCTCTGTGCTGGTTTGCCGCAGTGGGTCGGGGGTGCAGTTGAGGACACTGCTGCCGTCGTAGAGTTGTGTGCCGGTGGTGCTGACGTTGACGTCGCTGTCGTTGCAGGTGTTTGAGGGGAACCGCCCAACCAATTCGATTGTCTTCAACAAGCTCACGCCCTTCATGCTGGGGGCTCTGATCGGTAGGCTGCGTGTGACGCCTGGGCTACGGAAGAACCAAATGCCCGACGTTCATTGCTAACCGCGTATCGCTCGCGTGTTGCTGTTGGCATCGAGGCAAACGCAAGGCGAATACTTTTTTTTCTCTAGGCTCGGTATATAGTCCATGAGCCCAGACGAGAGATTTGACTTGGAGGTTCCACCTGAAATACTACTACTTCAGTGGTTCCAATATCTCTGTAGTCACGAACAGTGAATCGTTTGATAAACATTTAAAATTGAGTGGGGTTATCAAGTGATTCAAGTGAATTAGCCGTCTAAATGAATCGGTACGACTTTTAAAGTTATGCCACCCCATCTGGTACAAATTTTTGCTCTGGCTCAAGGAGTAAGCAGTCGCTGTGAAATTTGAGATATTCCCTTGATGTCTTTTATTTAAAAGGGCCTGTATTACCACAAGCTCCGGACCGTGCTCCGAGTCCGTGCAAGCTGCTCGAAAGCTTTGTGCTCTGCTTATCTGCCGATGGGTCGGTCTGAACCGAAGTCAATCACGACCGTGACTTTTCTTGTGTGCGTTCGTTGGTGACAATGGAGCGATGAAACGATCGCCTGAAGAAATGCGAGAGAGGCGCTTATGCCGAGTGTGAAACCCACGTTTGCTTTGCCGTTTTGTTATTATCCGGTCACTGATTTAGCGACAGGTGTGTCGGTTACAAACTGACGATTTGTTCCGGTAGCAGGACGCAACGCTGCTACCCTGAACGGAGCGGGCGTGTAATCCTCGATTTGAAATGGACTCTTTATTTTTTTAACGCTCGCAATACGCTCGTCGCAGCTGACGTGTGAGAATTGATTGTTTACGCGAATCCATGTTTCACGTGACCCCTGCAGCCACTAGAGGCTACGCCCACCCACAATGTAAAACTAGTTTTTTTTTCATCTTGATTCGTGAATTGCAGAGGGAGGGGAGGATCAAATTGTTAATTGCACTTAACATCAGTGATGCATCTGGTTGTAATCGTCTGTGAATGTAGATTACACTGGAGCTATGAACTTTTAAATCTAGATTGAAAACTAATTTCTTTAGAACTTGCTTTTTGTGTTTAGTTTATTGTCCTTCCCCCGCACCTCTGATTAGCACGGTTGGCTACGTACGGTACAAAAAGAAGTTCAACATACATACACGAGTGTCTATTTAATTGAGAATAAATATATTCAATCAGGCCGAGGCAGTTGCTTGCGGTTTGCGTCCGACTCCGATGCCATGTGTTGCAGGCTAACCAGGCTGTCTGTCTTCGTGTCTTGACAGCCATGTACGAGCACAAGATCTTCATCCAGGGCGTCATTTGGGAAGTGAACAGCTACGATCAGTGGGGGTGAGTGCCTTGTCGCGTGTTTCAAGTTTCATCTCAGAGGGGAGAGGTGCGCTGTGTGGTTCAGAGGTCGGAATGCTGAGCTGAGATCTCGGGTTTGTATGTATGCATGTTGAACTTCCCTTCGCACCGTACGTAGCCAACCGTGCTAATCGGAGGTGTGGGGGAAGGACAACAAAGTAAGCTTGTTGAGTCCAGGCAGCTGCTCGTGATACAATTGGGTTATCTCGTGTAGTGCGTTAATGGTCTCAGCCTGGTCACCAATGACTGCAGTAGAACAATCGCACACGATTTGGTTCTGCACTTAATTTTGCTCAATTCCCACTTTGAGAATGTTAAATATTGGGTTTGGCTGTCATGTCACTCACCGCCCCCCCCCCCCCCACTCTTTCTGTCTCCCAACTCCGGCCGCCTCGCCGCTGCAGTGTGGAGTTGGGCAAGCAGCTGGCCAAGGCCATCGAGCCGGAGCTGACCTCGCCTGGAGAGGTGACCTCCCACGACTCCTCCACCAACGGCCTCATCGGCTTCATCAAGCAGCACCGGCAGTGACTAGGCACGCGCAAGCCAACACCGCCCCCCCCCCCCTCCAGCGTCTCCGCCAAGCTCTGACACGCCGTCCTTCGTGCTCGCACCACGGGGTTAGGGGTGTTGTGTTCCACCGGACGCGTCGGCCTCTTCCGCTCGGGCGTGGGCTGCGGGGTGTTGGGGGAGGCGTGGCGTAATGAGATGCGGACTGACCAGGGTGTCCCCTCTCCCCTCCGATTTTCTGTAATACCCCGGCGAGGTTAGCTCGGCTTGTGATCGATGGGTTTTCTTGCGAGACGTTTGTTACAGGCAACCGCCGTGGCAAGCATGTGACGTGTGCGTTGCCTGTTTGTCTATCCACTGCTGGAGGAGGGAGGGCCTTGCCACCCACGCCGTTCGGGCTCATGGGGGAGGCCTTCAAACCTCACCGTTGTTGTTAGACCGATAAACATTTGACATGCAAGGACAATCGTTGTCACTCGTCCATCTACACTCGATTGGATGGGGGGGGGTAACGTGATGAAACGCACAGCGTGCGACACCCCTGCAGGTGTAGGCTCGTGCGAACGTCAAGCTTGAGGAGTAGTCTCCTCGCAAGACGGGCCGCCGTCACCTCGTTACGCCAGCGGTGGGGAACATTTTTTTCCTGCCGAGGGCCATTTGGATATTTATAACATCATTCGCGGGCCATACAAAAACATTAACTTAAAAATTAGCCTGTTATATTTGGTCAAACATTTTAATTAACTCGCCCCTAATGTGATGGCTGGAACTGCTTCTCTTTGGTGAGGCGTGGTGATGATGTTAGCTGGCTATTGATGATGTTGCTACTCGCAGCTGCTTTTCCAGGTTTACTCCTAGATTTATTGAATTTCGAGTCCCGCCTGCGGTTGCCTTGGCAGGGCCAGAGACCAAATGATTTCGCGGGCCTTGTACGGCCCGCGGGCCGGACAAGGCCCGCGGGCCGGACGTTCTCCACCCCTGCGTGACGCCTCCTCCGACCCTCGTTATGAAGCGCCGATCCGTCTCGTTGGCTCGCTCGCCCCACCAGTGCTCACCCCACCAGTGCTCACCCCACCAGCGCTCACCCCACCAGCGCTCACCCCACCAGCGCTCACCCCACCAGCGCTCACCCCACCAGCGCTCACCCCACCAGCGCTCACCCCACCAGCGCTCACCCCACCAGCGCTCACCCCACCAGCTGCCTGTTAGAGAACGTGCGGAGCGCGTGCACACGCCCTGTGGTCCGATTGAACATTTCTGCCGTGGCGAGCGGTCACCCCTCCATTGGTCCGCGCGGAGATGGCCCACGTGGCCACTTTTTGAACAAGCTTCTTGAATCTCCGTGTGGTTTGTAAGCTCTGCGCACAGCGCCACTGGCGCGTAGAAACATTTCCATCCTTTAGAAGGAAGCTCATGTCCATCGCTGTGTGCGTGGTGTTTGTTGTTTTTTGATCACGAATTTTCACATGTTATTGGAACTCTTTTAAGGCTTGGCATTTTGGGATAGTACTCGTAGACTTTGGTCGAGTTTTTGGGAAATTGCTGGTTAAAGTTGAATGACTTGATTTCAAGGGGGCTTTTGGAGACCAATCTAATGTCACCTTGAGTTTGTATATCACCAATATCTCACGAGCTATTCGCGTGTGCTTCTTGCCGGTCTCTACAAACTTCAAGAGTGACAGTGATAGTTGTGATGACGATGGTGGATATGGTGGTGGTGATGGTTGTCTGATTGTGATGACGTTCCGAGTGTCTCATGTTTCCCACTACCCCTTCATGTTTGTGGTGACGTACTGCAGTGAGACTCCTATAAACCCAGCATTTCCCAGCCTCCCATTCCTTTGTTGCAACCAACCACGGTACTTCTTTACAAGTTTTCCCAATCTAACCTTTAAAATGCGAGTCGTGACACGCCGCACGCTCCCGATGTTTGGTAAACAAAGTCCCGCGGGACGCGGCGCCGATTGAAATTGTCGCTGTTGTGCGAGAAGCACACGTACACCAAATACACACGATCGCTGGCCATTAACATTCATAGCAGGCCCCGTCTACACATGGGACACAAGATCGCGTTGAATTCGAGTCAACACTTGGGTCACGTCAGACCACACGTGGTACAGTTTTACACACAAGGTCTCCAAGTTTGAATCGGCACTTGGGTCACGCGGGAACGCGCGTGCGGACGGCATTCTACCGCACTCGCGTCGTGTTCACCAATCGTCGGGTGCATGCGGTTTGTAACAACGCCATTTGTGTTTAAAAAGGGACATTGGTAAATGCAAAAATACGTGCGGCGGTAGAAATGCAATGAATGGGGAGGAGGCTGGCAAGCCCTGGCAGCGTGTAACCTCTGTCTAGCGCTGGACCGCATGTGAGATGTGACGTGTCCGTGTCGTCTCCGTTACAAACCGCGCACCGCTTCTGGCTAGGTATCCCTTGTCGGTGATCCTTGTGATGTCGTTGAGATGCAATGTGTGCCCGCCCACCGTGATCGCAAATAAAGTTCCGATCCTGCAACCAACGGAAATGGGTCCCTCGCGTTTCATCGCCAGCTGATGGCCCATTGTGTTTGAGAGAGAGGAGATGGAGAGCACTTGCCAATAACGCCTGTTAAACCAGCAGGCTGTGATGAAACCCAAAAAAGTGAAAACTGCTGTGGAGTTGGCATAACTCTTGACTTAAAGCTTTCGTGACTGCAGGAATTCATGTTTGTGGGTCTTTCGGTAAAGTCACGTAGGTAGGTTCAAATAAAATTACAAAAATAACATACTTTAAACCAATGCTGCTTTTAGTATGTATGGTGAACTTCTTTTGCACCTTACGTAACCATCCGCGCTAATCAGAGTGGTGGGAGGACAACAAACTAAACACAAAAAAGTTCTTAAAGGAATGAGTTTTCAATCTAAATTTAAAAGTGCATAGCTCCGGTGGCTTCCTAATATCTGAAGGAAGAGTGGTCCAGACGGCCGCAGCAGCGCATCTGAAAGCGCGCCATGCATGGAAGTCTATTTTAGTTTCACATTTTTACCCAGAATTCTCCACAATGGCCGATAATGTTCATACTGGTGTAGCGGATACTGTCCGCACCAACACATGCTGAGACAGGTCAGGGTTCTGGTCCGTTTATTCCACCTCTGTCACGCACGCAGCTCCCTCCTTCATACGCCGCTCTCTCCTCCCGTCACTCCACCGACGGTGCTCTCTGAAACCCACGCTCCTCTCTCCTATTCCATGAGCCTCATCCCCCGTCACCAATTCCCAGCCGCCAGTCGCGTATCGTCGCATTTAGAACCACGTCGTCTCATCTCCAGCCACCAATCTCCTCAATCTCCACCCCGCACGGTTACTCCCGGTCACGTCGGTGAAGGGATTCACGTCGGCATGTAGTACGTGGTGGGGGATGCCGATGTGGGCACCGTTATGGAGGACTGTTACACAGGTAACCACGCTCTATCCACTGCTGGATAAAGTTCTCCCAATTTCGCTGCCGTCCCCGCGATGCACGCTCCGTCTCCGCGGTGGATGTAAAGCCCTTTCTTAAACGAGCTCTCAACACCACAGTAAGTTGTGATTTGTGTGCTGAGTATGCTGGAGTTACTTAACTCCTCCACTGTACAAGTTCATATTAATGTCTTTAAGGATAACGGTGCTCTGTTCAAAACCCACAGGAGCCAGTTCAGGAAATGCAATGCCTTTTAATAAAAAAAAAACGTGTTTATCAAAAGCGCGCTTTGGAGTTTCGGGCGTCGAGTCGTTTTCTCGGTGTATACATAATTGAAAAAGAAAACAAATTAACCTCAATTGGCTGTCCAGTTAATGTCCTGAAGGTTTAACCGATGTCTCACTCCGCCGACGACAGAGGCTGGCGCAGGGATGCTGTGCGACATCGATCGCCGGGACAGCTCTGTTGCTGTTTCCCGCTTGGACAGCGCCCATGCGTCCACACAACATTACATGTACAGCCCCTCTGTCAATCCACTACTGGATGAGTGCCTACCCCAAACCCGCGCTAGTTGTGAGCGTTGTTTTAAACCAGCACCCTGGTTAATGTGGGTTGGTGACAGTAGTGGAGGTGGGACAGATAAGTGGGACCATATAAGTACTGTATAACGATGGATTTAGCAATACAGTATTGCAATGCTGATCATTATGCTCATAAAGGTGGTGGCGTAATGTTACCTCCCTCGCCTGGTATGCAGGAGGTCGTGGGTTCGATCCCGACCCTGACCTCTGTTGTATATTTGGAGTCTTCGTGTATCTCTCCCCGTGGTCGCGTGAAGTTTCCTCCGGGTTCTCCGACGTTTCCCTCCACATTTAGAATCAACATGCAGTTCATAGAATATTTCGCTGCTATACATTTCCACACGAAAAGCCACCGTTGAGCTTTCATTTGTGGCCAGGGCGTTTCTGGAAAAAAATAGCTACGTATCTCGTTCAGTAGACCTTATATGGTAAAATAAAATAAAAATTCAAAGTTTAAAAATAGTTTATAGTTTCAAGTCCAAACACGAGCTTCACAAGACGCCTGCTTCAGCTTGGGAGATTTGACGACATGTGGGCATCAGTTCTGCGCTGCTAAGCGGGCCATCCTCTAGGACACGGTGCAGCGTCCCAGCCGAGTGGAGGAGACCTACGCCGGTAGGGGTAGACGGGTAACGTGGTACCGTCGGGATCGTCTGTGGGGTTCACGGGACGTGCGTGCTGCAAAGGCTACGCCCGCCCACGGGGAGCATCGGGCTCTCTTCGCTCGCGAACGGTGGTGTCGGGGAACGGTGGCTTAATTGACGGAACCCCGGGGAGAACGAGCAGGGGGGGGGATGGATGACAGCTGAGGCCGCCTATACCGATTGTGTCGCAGGCGAGGGGTGGTGGGGGGTGCCTCATCAGCGCGATCGGTGGCGGCTGCTGGTGCGTGACGGGTGGCAGACCTCGGGGTAAGAGGAGGGCCCGCGGTCGCATGCCGACGCGGTGACCAGAGGCGCAACTTCTGCACCGCTCGGCGAGAGGGGACAACGACGGAGGGAGCGGGCGCCGACCTCGGCGGCGGTGCGGATGGGAGGCGGGAAGGGAGGAGGTGGTGGTGGCTTGGACGTTCAGAGATTTCGTTGGGGCATTCGCAACGAAAGCAATTTGGGCCACGCCGCACCAACTGGAATGGGAGGGCCGAGCAAGGGAGGGGGAAATGCGTGATGCCCGCTGGTTTCGCTGTCAATCTCAAACAAAAAAACGATCCTATAACAGACTACGACGCTGTTAATCCCATAAAAAAAACCCGATGTCACGATAACGCCATAACGGCAAAAAAAACAACGCATCTTAGCCACACCAGTTGCTACTGGAATATGTTCGGGAAGGCCCGCGTGAACAGGCTGTTGGTACCTTGCTGGTTTCGCTGTGAATGTCAAACGAAATATCAAACGTCCGGCAAAAACTTCCCCCTCGGTCAGATGACGGCGAATGCACACAACCATCGACCACAACGGAAACGAGGGGGGGCAGGTGGGGGGCGGAGGAAGAGCCCCCCCCCTCCCTAATGCGAGCCGGTGACCTTACATAGAGCGCGCACGCCGAACGAAATGCAACAATGCACGATGTTTAACAGATCTCCCCGAAGAGCTATACAGAATCAGAATATTCACACTGGAGGAATCCGATGAGCTATAGAGCTCTTTTTATCACAGATGTCCAGGAGACATTGTGTCAGCTAGAGCAGTGTTCTTCACTAATTTTCAGAGGAATTGGATGCCAATACCAGGGTGTGAGG